CAAGGGTAGCGATAGACTTCATAAAGAAACAAATCTTTAACCGCTATACATCACCCAGGGCCATTATAAGTGATGGTGAAACTCATTTTCGCAATCGATTATTCCAAGCAGTGCTGCATAAATATGGGGTAGACATCGAATAGCCACACCATATCATCCTCAAACAATTGGACAAGTTTAAACTTCTAATCGATAGCTAAAAAGAATTCTAGAACTCACTTTAAATTCATCTCAAAAAGATTAGTCCAAAAAATTGGACGATGCTTTGTGGGCCTATCACACCGCGTATAAGACGCCCATTGGAATGTCATCATACCGAATAGTCTTCGAAAAAGTATGCCACCTACCAGTCGAGTTTGAACACAAAGCATACTGGGCCCTGAAGCAGTTGAACATGGATCTAGAGAAGGTTGAAGAAACAAAAATGCTGCAACTACATGAATTGGAAGAATTTAGAAGAGAAGCTTATGAGAATGCATCAATCTATAAAGAAAGGACGAAGCAGTAGCATGACAAGAATATTAGGCAACAAAATTTCAGAGTGAGAGATCAACTCCTCTTATACATCTCCAAACTTAAGCTCTTCCTAGGAAAATTGAAATCTAGATGGTCCGGCCTTTTCACTATCTCTCGAATGTGTCCCTACGGCACAGTTGAACTATACTACCAAACAAAAAGAACTTCAAGGTTAATGGACAACGCACTAAACATTACGTGGAGGAGTTTCCCACCACTAGAAAGAGCCTTGAACTTGCAGTTCTAGAATAATACGTCACAAAATCCTGCTAATGACTTAAAAGAAATGCTTCTTGGGAGGCAACCCAAGCTTTCTTTCCTTTATTTATTTTGTTTTCAAGTTATAGGATAGTTTAGTTGATTTATTAGTTTATTTAGGAGTCATCACTCATATCCCTTCTGCCTGTAGGCCCTTGAATTTATTGTTGGTTATTTTGATTGTTTAGGCCAAGTAACACATGTTCTAGGTTGTTTGACTTGTGAAATTTAATTTTTCAGGAATATGACGTCCTGTAACATTCAAACCAACATAAACCCAAGGGAAAGTACACTGAAGAAGATTATACAACTGTCACACATATTTCCTCATACATTTAACAGAAAAATTTGGATAGTACCTTCTTCTTCCTTTTTTTCTCTACCTCTTTATATGCTTATTTATGCTATATAACATTGAGAACAATGTCAGTTTTAAGTTTGGGGTAAAACAACTTTTAGTTTTTGTTTTTCATATGTTTTATAAGTCTTTGTGTGTTTGTTATAAAAAAAATTAAAAAATTTAAAGAATTTCAAAAAAAAAAAATCTCTTTTATTCAACAATGTGTTTGTGTGGGTAGATAGTCCGGAAGACAATGATGATTTAATTTGAGATTTGGTATTAATTTATGAATTGTGGATAGGATGCATGCTAGATTAATTGAAGCTCAACCTTGCAAAACTTGTTATTACATGACATTATGATTAAATGAGTTGTTTCTTGCTTTTAATAGGTTGATCTAGTTGGACATAGATGCTTTACCTAAACCATATTAAATAATCTATCTTTAGACCAAATTTAGCACAATTTGGGGGTGATTTTACAGTTGTAGAAAGATGCAGATATGAATGTGGATTCCATGTATGAAAACTTATGTGTGGATTGTCATAGACTAACGTGATAAAACTCGATGAAAGTCATAAGTTGGAGGTCGATTTGTTTGAAAAAGTGTGTGATAAAGGGCATTACACTAATCAAGGCATACATTTAAAAATTTTAAACTTCTCTTTGAAGTCTTTATAACTCGAGTGATTAAGTCTGTAAAGGTATCTTAAAACTTGGTGTCCAAAAGTCGTCTGACTTGAGAATCATCGACCTAAAACTCGTTACAACGGTTATTTAGAAAGTTTAATGGAGATGAATTTGCACTTAAAAAGAACATAAAAAAATAAAAATAAAATTATCTCAACAAACCTGTAAGGGTGTTTAAAACCTGGTATCCTAAAATCATTTGATTTGGGAGTCATCGGCTTCAAGCCTACTACAAGGGTCATCTAGAAAGCTTAATGGAGGGAATGAAAAAAATAAAAATAAAATAACTTATGAAAAACCAAAAAAAACAAGTGCATGAAAAGAGAAAAGGCACTAAACACCTTGATTAAGTCCCAACACTTATTTAAAGGAATTTGACCTTCAATGAAGGATATTAGCCTACTTGAGTTTTAGAAGTCGAAGCAATCAAATAATTGGAGAATCCATGTCATTGAAATATTAACTTGCAACTAGTGAAGTCCACCTGAACTAGAGAGATGAGGATGTAATGAATAAGTCAACATTAGATCACATGTTGGAAAAAGAGTGAAAACGAATAAATTTGGGGGTGTGTGAATCTTACGAGTAATGAAAGGACATATATGACTATTAAGGGTCAAAAATTGAAACAACTTGTGAATTCATTAATGTCTACATAATTCTTCACACATACGTCGATTTTGCATTGGAAGAGTGAATATTAGTTTGGTATTGTAACTTTGAAGCAGTTTATAGAGTAGACACTAATATCTTGAATCATCAGGTAAAAAGCTAAACTGTCCAACCAAGTATTTTTGCATGCTTGTATGTTGGTTATTATTTAGGTTATAGTTTTGTTTAAGAGCAAACAAATGTTTAGGTTTGAGGGTATTTGATAAGTGTATTTTATACACTTATTCAATGCCTAAAATAACGATATTTGATGGTTTTGTGCCAAATTATATTCTAAATTTTTGTATTTTATGTTTAACAGGTGAAATTTTATGAATGAAAAGGAATTAAAAGAATGAAGCAAAAAATGGGCGAAAAATGACAAAGTCCAAAGTACGAGGACTAAATTAGCCATTGGATGCAAAATTAAGAGATCAAATTTTATACTTTGGAAAGTGAAGAACTTGAATTTAACCAAATAATACATGGGTTGCAAGAATAAAATGGTTCAAGGACTGAAATTTATTATACTGAAAAATTGACGACTAGAGGGGTAATTTTGCATTAATGGCTTGAATTGGAGTCCTTGTTTTAGTCAACTATTGTGGCTGTATGGTTGGTATATATAGGTACACACATGAGAAAAGGATGGCAGCCAATTTTATATATTTTCCACACAATTGATGCTACCATATTATATAGACACGCATGGATATTGAGGGAGAGAAAATACTACATTTTATACACACTTTAGAGGTTGAAATTGGAGAAAAATCGAGAGAGGGGGAGAATTTTTTCTGCTGCCATTAAAACGAACACAAAGAGATACATACGCTGATACGCAGGAGACTATTGGGAGAATTAATTTTAGTGGTTGTCTTTATTGTCTATACATACACTCACAGAAATTGAGGCACATTGGAGGGCAGTTGCTACTCAATTACACGCAAAAGTGAGGAAGAATTTATACACGCATACACGAGAAAAGAAGCAGATTTACTTTTACAAATTATTCATGTTCCATCAATTAATCGGGTGATGAATTCCATGATAATTTATTGTTTTTCTCTCGCTAATATGCGTAGCTAAATTTAATTTTTAGGGCGAATGTAACATATTGGGGACCTTTATTTCTTTTATTTGAGATTCTTGTTCTTTTATATTTTCTGGGTGTATTTTAATTATGTTATTAATGCTTTGAATTTTTTGGTCAATTATTCAATAATTTCGTAAACAATAATTACGTAGAGATGGGAATTCTTGTTTAGATCACATATTAAAATTCGATAAATTAATATAATGTGTAAAAATACTTTTATTAATCGCTACGATCTTATAAGAATTCTTAGAGCTATTATTTCGTTTAAATAATGTTGATTCGCATAGAAATATGGAATTGAATTATTTAAATAGGTTCAATGAGAACTTGAGAGAGATAAATTGAATATTATAGAAGAATTCGATCAAACACTACTTTAATTTTATAAATCTCTATATTAGAAGTAAAGGTGACCAATAGGTGAATTTGTTCCACCCTAATATCCATTCATTATTTGAATTCTTACTCATTTTCTATTGCATTCATGAGATTTTTACTAGTTAGATTCAAGAATCACATTCAATCATTTTTTTTTTGTTTAGTTTCGTCAAATAGAAGTTAGGAATAATGAATTGAGTATTAAAGTATAGTCCTCGCGGGAACGATAATCCGAACTCGAAAGGTCCACTTTACTACTTGTTACGATCCGTCCACTTGCAAGATAAATTTGACAACAATGGTTTATAGGATTATTCAGGCCTAGTTGTAGAAAAACACCAAAGTACAAGTGTTTTCTACCCAAGTTTGAAGAACACAAAGGATGAAATTGAATATGAAGAGTAATAAGAATTTGATCTTTAATTGGGGAATAATGTATGGATCTCAAGTGTTTTTCTTACATCCAAACTTGAACATGATCCCACATATATAGACCTCAACCAGATTCACGAAATGGTGCCAAAAATTGAATGAAAGGCCACCAAATTCAAAACACAAACGGTTAAAAACGTTCAGATTCTCCTTCTATGCGATCGCATAGTCAAACCTATGTGGTCGCATAATTCACCTCCAAACGGGGCTAAAAAATTTTGTACTGGGCACGGTTGCACAGGCCAACTTTTGGCCCTCAAATGTTATTTTTCGTTCCACTCTCCTCTTATTGATTTTTGAACAATATATAACAATTAGTACTAAGAGGCACGTGTCCATCGTCTCAATTCAGACATCTACAATCGTACAAAGCATTGGACCCCGGCATAAGAAATTAATAACCACAAAACTAACCAAATAAAAAACAATCAAAATAAATACAAGTTCCACCCACTAAATAAATATGAATGAAGTTCAATAACTTATCTATTAAACTCATTAACCATTCCATAAAAACCAAGACCTTAGTATTTTTA